TCTGACTTACAAGTGACTCATAGTTAAGAACTGCCTTGGGTCGCCTCTGGCTGAGAAAGGCGGTAGACAAATGTAGTAAATAAATAAATAAGAAATAAGTACAGGAGTGAGGCAACAGGAAGTGAGAGAAATCTACCACTTGGAAGGGAAATTCACTCCTGAAAGAGTTTTCATGGAGGAAAGGTGTCTCCACTGAAGCTTTATTACTAATCCTTATTTCCACAACAAGCCAAAATTTTCAAAATTCAATTATCACAGGGACAGAAAGTGAGGTCCATTTAACATTTACAGTAATTCTAGCAAAGGTTTAGGACCTTTTTACTTGAAGTAGATTTGAAATGAAAGGCATTCCCTGAGTTACAAACATCCGACTTACAAATGACTCACAGTTAAGAACAGGACTGAGACTCTAGGAAGGGAAATTTAGTCCGGAAAGAGTTAGGATGGGGGAAAGCGTCTCCATCGAAGTTTTATCACCAATCCTTGTTTCCGCAACAAGCAAAATCATCACAGAGACAGAAAGTGGGATGAAATATTTTGAACAGGGGCGCAGACAGCAAAACAAACACCATAGAGGTGTTAACCCTTCCCTATGCTATACAAACCATAGATAGATGGATGGATGGATGGATGGATGGATGGATGGATGGATGGATGGATGGATGGATGGATCAGTAGACAGACAGATAGATAGGCTGAAGTTACGCTTTAAAATGTGCCTGTTCTGACTTACAAACAAATTCAAGTTAAAAGCAAACCTACAGAACCTATGTTGTTCGTAACTTGGGGACTGCAAGTAAAGGGAGCTGTACTCTGATGTATCTACGAAGCACCAGATTGAAGAGGATTATTCTGACTGCCTCTTAACCACTCAGCTGGCAGGTGGCAATTCTCAGTGAACCAACTTTTGTGTACCTTGAAGTCACCTACCTGTTGACTTATGGTGATCCTATGAATTTCATAGCGTTTTCTTAGGAAAAGATACTCTGAGCCTCCAATTTGCCTACTGTGCTGTAGATACAATTCAGATGAACTAAAATATATCAATCATTTTTATTGTCATTTTAAAGGAATGCAGCCCTTGTTTTGTGTCCTTTAGTCGAGCATATAACTTGAAAGCCCCTTCCCCTTGATCAAGACACAGAAGAGTTCTATTTTGATCAATGATCATTATTTACTTAAGTTTTAAGCATTGCATAAATAAGTGTAAAACTGATAAAATAGAGGGAACACAAATGGCTAAATAATTTTAGACCAAAAACGGACAACAGGGACCGCACTGTCTGTAGCTTTAAACAATTCTTCCTCTGTGCATGAGGCAGGGCATTATGTAGAATTGTTTGTTTTGCTCCACAGTTGCACAAGGTGGGGAATTCTTCTAGGTAGTGCCATTTGCCAGGTTGTCTTTTGATCTGCCCACTCCACATCTGAGTCTGTTCAGGGACTTCCAAGTCACCCATTCTTGGTTTGCCCCTGGAGGAAGACCCTTGCCACGGAAGGGGGGGGGCTATCCATTTGGGATTTCCTGGTTTAGCTAAATGGGACTGTGGGCATAGTGGGTCACCTGCTATAACATCCATAAAATAATTTAGAAATCATCTTCACCTTGAGTTCCTGCAAATAATAAAGCCATCAACAACCATTTTCTTATGAAAAATTATATATTTTATTCATAGATCTGTTTCATTTTTGAGAACAAGGCCCTTTCGCTGCAGCTGTAAATACATACTAGAATAAACTCTGTGAAATATACAAAAAATACATCTTTATTCCCCCCATTTCCCCTCATGACAATGTTTATTTTGTAATAAATAGAAGAAGTGTGTGTTTCCGTTCATAGCTCATAGAGTCATAAATATATAGGCACAGAGTACAACCCCTGTGTTTTCAGAGGCTACATTCCAAGACCCCCATTAATACCTGAAACTGTGGATAATAGTGAATCAATCTTATATATACGGTGTGTTGACAATACTTGGGCTGGAAGCATACCACACAATCACATTGGAGGACCTAGAGAGGCCTACAAACACTTCCAGGAAGGAATATTTTTGGAGCATGGGGAGATTAAACTGTGGATATCAAATCCATGAATAAAGGGGTACCGTACTGTCCACATTCATATATATTGAAATAGTTTGTTGTTCATTCATTCAGTTGCTTCCAACTCTTCGTGACCTCATGGACCAGCCCACGCCAGAGCCCCCTTCAGCCATGGCCACCCCCAGCTCCTTCAAGGTCAAGCCAGTCATTTCAAGGATAACACCCATCCATCTTGCCTTTGGTTGGCCCTTCTTCCCCTTTCCTTCCATTTCCCCCAGCCTCATTCTCTTCTCCAAGCTTTCCTGTCTTCTCATTATGTGACATGGAGCCCCCAAGTGGCACAATGGATTCAACCCTTGTGCTGGCAGGACTGATGACCGACAGGTCAGTGGTTTGAATCCAGAAAGAGTGGGTTGAGTTCCCTCTGTCAGCTCAAGCTCCCCATGCAGGGACATGAGAGAAGCCTCCCACAAGGTGGTAAAAAAATATCAAACATCTGGGCATCCCTTGGGCAACGTCCTTGTAGATGGCCAATTCTCTCACACCAGAAGCAACCTGCAGTTTCTCAAGTCGCTCCTGACACACACACACAAAAAATGTGAAATAGTTTAGGAGTCCTCAAAAGTCAAGATAAATAATGGATGAGCCATTCTCCACTCGAAGTTCAGCCCTCCAACCCAACCCACATCTACAGTCCACCCTTACAATACAAGAGTCAGCCAAGATTTCCACACTTACAACACAAAATAATAACAATGAATGACTTCTAACTGGATCTCACACGCAAACACAGTTTGTTGTTCATTCATTCAGTTGCTTCCAGCTCTTCGTGACCTCATGGATCAGCCCACGCCAGAGCTCCTCCAAACATTCATTTTCTCCTTTCCCCCAATAAATCCCAGGAGACAGACAGGCACAAAATGGAAGGAGGGCTTAAGGCAGTGGTTCTCAACCTGTGGGTCCCCAGATGTTTTGGCCTTCAACTCCCAAAAATCCTAACAGCTGGGATTTCTGGGAGTTGTAGGCCAAAACACTTGTGGCAACCCACATGTTGAGAACCACTGGAAGGGGGAGGAAACGAAAGACACAGTGCCTGGCCAATGTGGAGAAAGTGCAGTTCAGGAAAGAGGCAAAAGTTTGACTTGACAGGTGGTATTCCCATCGCCTCCAGGCTGGCAATGGGAGAGAAGGCAGAAGGGAGAGATTGGGGTATAGATCAGCCATGGGCAACCTTGGGCCCTGCGGGTGTTTTGGACTCCAACTCCCACCATTCCTAACAGCCTCAGGCCCTTTCCTTTTCCCCCTCAGCCACTTAAGCTGAACTATCTATCTATCTATTAGGCCTGGGTAACAACGGAAAATTTGTTTCTAAAATCAATTCATTTTTTTGGGGTTTTTTGCGTTTCGATATTTAAAAGAATTCCGAATTTTTTTTAAAAAAAAAGTTCGATATTTACGAAATTTCGTAAATGGTAAAAAAATTACAAAACAATAACGAAACAATAACGAAACAATAACGAATCGATTCGTTAATGGCGGACGCGACCGCGCAATACGCTAAAAAACCTCCAAATGGGACAGGGGGAACTTCTGAAGCTTCCCTCTCCCTCTGTTGTTGACTGTTGGTGTGATATTATAATTTTTTTTCACTAATTAAACAAAAAACAACTATAAAACTTGCCCCAGACATGCGGAAATAATAACGAAACGACCTCAAACCAATAACGAAACGAATACATAACGAAATGCGAAGCATTTACGAAACGAATTGAAAAATTCGTTTCATTTTTAAGTTGCTCCAGAATGGTTCGTTAGCGCTTTGTTAACAAAAAAAACGAATTTTTAACGAATTACGAATTAACGAAACCGCCCAGCCCTACTATCTATCTATCTATCTATCTATGGTTTGTATAGCATAGGGAAGGGTTGACACCTCTATGGTGTTTGTTTTGCTGCCTGTGCCCCTGTTCACAAGAGTTCACCTCACTTTCTGTCCCTGTGAAAATGTTAACTTGTTGTGGAAATAAGGATCAGTGATAAAGCTTCAGTGGAGACACCATTTCCCCATGAAATCTCTTTCAGGAGTGAATTTCCCTTCCTAGATTTCTCTCCCTTCCTGTTGTGTCGCCTCCGTTCTTAACTATGAGTTATTTGTAAGTCAGGTGTTTGTAACTCGGAGACTGCCTGCATTGACTTTCTGGACATTCCTTCATCAACCGCTCTGGGTTGTATGGAGCCATCAAAGAGGAGTGAATTTCCCTTCCAAGTGGTAGCTTTCTCTCACTTCCTGTTGCCTCACTCTCGTTCTTAACTATGAGTCACTTGTAAGTAGGATGTTTGTAACGTGGGGACTGCTTGTCTCTCTGGCTAGTAAGACAGACTAATTGAGAATGGCTGCAGTTATAGTCTGAAATCTGCCTTCTCTTCTTCTCATCAGCCTTCTCTTCTTCAGGCTAAACTTGCCCAGCTCTTTAAGCTGCTCCTCAATGAACAAGCCCTATGAGGAGCGGCTTAAAGAGCTGGGCATGTTTAGCCTGAAGAAGAGAGGGCTGAGAGGAGACATGATGAGGGCCATGTATAAATATGTGAGAAGAAGTCACAGGGAGGAGGGAGCAAGCTTGTTTTCTGCTGCCCTGGAGACTAGGACACAGAACAATGGCTTCAAACTATAGGAAAGGAGATTCCACCAGAACATGAGGAAGAACTTCCTGACTGTGAGAGCTGTTCAGCAGTGGAACTCTCTGCTCCAGAGTGTGGTGGAGGCTCCTTCTTTGGAAGCTTTTAAACAGAGGTTGTATGGCCATCTCTGGGGGGTGCTTTGAATTTGATTTTCCTGCTTCTTGGCAGGGGGTGGGACTGGATGGCCCATGAGGTCTCTTCCAACTCTATGATTCTATGATTCTATCTGTCGGGGGTGCTTAAGCGGCTGAGGGGAAGAAAGGAAAGGGCCGGAGGCTGTTAGGAATGGTGGGAGTTGGAGTCCAAAACACCTGGAGATCAGAAAGGTGGGAAAGTTTGCCCATGGCTGCTTTAGAAGGCTGGGCTTTGAGTCTGGCTTTCAAATCAGGGCGAAACGAGGCTTCTCGGGCTGCGGCCAGTAGTCCATCTCGGATGCAGAGCTGCCCCCAGGGCTGGCGGGAGACATAGTGCAGCCGTAGGCCGAGGAAGAGGAGGAGGAAACAGAGGAAGAGGCGGAAGGAGCCGGGCTGGCGGTGCAGCTCCAGGAGGCGGAGGAGGCGGCGGAGGATGAGGATGGGGAGGGGCTGCAGTCCTCGGGGAAGGCGCCCGCTCCGTGGTCGGCCAGGCGGAGGGTCTCGCTGAGGGCCCAGATGTAGTTGTGGGCGAAGCGGAGCGTCTCGATCTTGGTCAGCTTGGCGTCGTCGGGGAACGTGGGCAGCACCTCGCGCAGGGCGTCCAGGGCCGAGTTGAGGTGGTGCATGCGGTTCCGCTCCCGGTTGTTGGCCTTCAGGCGGCGGCTCTTCTTGATCCGCTGCACCGTCTCGGCCGTCTTGGCAGGGCGGGCGCCGCTCCGGGAACGGCGGGCACGGCGGCCCTTGCAGTCCTGCCGGCGGGCGAGGAGGCTTCCCGTCGAGGGCGAGAGGAGCCGGGAAGAAGCGTTGAGATCCTCCTCGTCCTCCTCTTCGTCGTCCTCCCCTTCGGAGCCGGAGGAGAAAGGCGAGAGGGAGGAGGAAGAGGAGGAGGAGGAGGAGGAGGGCGCTGCGGGCGAGGAGCGCACCCCCAGCAGCAGCAGCCTTTCCTCCTCTTCTTCCTCCTCTTCCTCCTTCAGCTCCAGGTTCTCCGGCTTCACGAACATCCTGGAGGGAGACAAGAAGAAGAAACTATTGTTGACGGCTTTCATGGCAGGAATCACTGGGTTGTTGTAGGTTTTTTCGGACTGTATGACCATGTTCTAGAAGCATTCTCTCCTGACCTTTCGCCTGCATCTTATGGCAGGCTTCCTCAGAGGTTATGAGGACTTCACAGCCTCTGTGGATGCCTGCCATAGATGCAGGCGAAACGTCAGGAGAGGATGCTTCTAGAACATAATCATGTAGCCCGAAAAACCTACAACAACCTAGAGGGAATTATCATCACCAGGGAATGAAGGACATCAGGTCATATAAACACACAGAGTAGGGGAGGAAATGTTCCCCAAACATCTGGAGAACAAGAATCATAGAGTTGGAAGAGACCTCATGGGCAATCCAGTCCCAAACCCCTTGCCAAGAAGCAGGAAAATCGCCTCTGCTTAAAAGCCCTTAAGAAAGCGCCTCCAAAACACTCCAGGGCAGAGTTCCACTGCTGAACAGCTCTCACAAGGTCCTTCCACACAGCCCTATATCCCAGGATATCAAGACAGAAAATCCCACAATATCTGTTTTAAACTAGGTTATCTAAGTCCACTCTCAAATAATGTGGGTCTTCCTGCCTCGATATTCTGGGATATAAGGCTGTGTGGAAGGGCCCACAGTCAAGAAGCTCTTCCTTATTTTCAGGTGGAATCTCCTTTCCTGTCGTTTGAAGTCCATCACACTAGAGAAAAATCCACTTAAAATTCGGTTACTGCCTCTTGCAGAATTCTGGGGTTTGTAGTTTAGAGAGGAGCCTTGAACAGCCTCACTCTACTACAAACCCTAGAATTCTGCAAGAGGCAGAAACCGGATTTTAAGCAGATTTTTTTTCTCTAGTGTGATAAAGTAGAGACATCCAGGGCAGCAGAAAACAAGATTGCTTTGCTCCCTCTTCTATTGTCGAAGGCTTTCATGGCTTGAATCACTGAGTAGTTGTGAGTTTTCCGGGCTGTATGGCCATGTTCCAGAAGCATTCTATCCTGATGTTTCGTCTGCATCTATGGCAGGCATCCTCAGAGGTTGTGAGGTCTGTTGGAAACTAGGAAAATGGGGTTTATATCTTTGTGCAATGATGTCCAGGGTGGGAAAAAGAACTCATCTGTTTGAGGTAGGTGTGAATGTTTCCATTGGCCACCTTGGTTAGCATTGAATTGCCTGGCAGTTGAGTATCTAGCGTGGCACACAAGATTCTCCTCAAGCAGATGGTTCTGGAACTTGGGAGGACCTTCATGGACGTGGGATTCCTCTCGCTCCTTCCCCGCCCGTATTTTCGGCCTTGGAAGCTTGGACAAGAAATGGACCGAAGAGGAAATCCTCCCCACCCAGGAACAGCCAGCCTCCCCTGGTCTTCATAGAATCATAGAGTTGGAAAAAGACCTCATGGGCCATCCAGTCCAACCCCCTGCCAAGAAGCAGGAAAATCAAATTCAAAGCACCCCCGACAGATAGCCATCCAGCCTGTTTAAAAGCTTCCAAAGAAGGAGCCTGCACCACACTCCGGGGCAGGGAGTTCCACTGCTGAACGGCTCTCACAGTCAGGATGTTCTTCCTCATGTTCATATGGAATCTCCTTTCTTGTAGTTAATAGACACTCGAAAGTCAATAGACACTGGTTCTCAACCTGGGGTCCCCGGATGTTTTTGGCCTACAACTCCCAGAAATCCCAGCTAGTTTACCAGCTGTTAGGATTACTGGGAGTTGAAGGCCAAAAACATCTGGGGACCCCAGGTTGAGAACCACTGCTGTAGACTGAGGGATGCATTTGGACACGACTTGAGCTGCACTGGCTCAACGCTACGAGCATCACAGTAGAGAAAGAATCCACTTTAAATCCAGTTTCTGCCTCCTGCAGGATTCTGGGTTTTGTAGTGAGGCTGTTAAAGGCTCCTCCCTAAACTACAAACCCCAGTCTCTCCCTTCCTCCTCCTTTCCCATTGCCAGCCTGGAGGTGGTGGGAACTCCACCTGTCAAGCCACACTTTTGCCTCTTTTCCGATCTGCGCTTTCCCCGCATTGGCCAGTTTGTTTAAAGTGGATTCGTTCTCCAGTGTGACGAGGTCGTGCCAGGGGAGTTGTGTTTGGGTGGGACAGAGAAGGCTCAAGGCGACAACTCCCAATTGAAAGCGGACACCACAATCCTTCCAGAAGTTAGGTGCGCCCAGTGTCTCCCAAACTCTGGTTTTTCAAGTATTTGGACTCCAGCTCCCAGAGTCCCTAGTCATTGGCCAAGAGTGCTGAGGCTTCTAGGAGTTGGAGTCCGAAACACCTGGAGGGAGAGAGTCTGGGAAGTTTCCTGTGCCACATGCCGCAAGGATGCCAGTGCGGTTGCGCGTGGGCCACTGCCAAAGGGAAAAGAGGGAGAAAGGAAGAGAGAAAGAGAGGGAAAGGGAAAAGTAGAGAGAGACTCACTTGGTTGCCTGCTTGGAGCGATCTCCTTCTATTTGGACGTCAAGGCTAGCTCGGCTTCAGTGCCAGGCACCCAGCGCTTTGGACCCGCGCCTCCCTGCTCCTGGAGAGGTTCTCCCTGCGGTCCGGCGCTGGGTCGGCGCGTGGGGCGCGTGGGCGAGGGCCTGGCACGCGCCGGGAGGGACCCTCCGGTGGACAGCGACCCGTCGGCTCGGGCGTCCCTCTCTGTGGCTGTGCGTCTGGCACACGACCCTCCTTAAAACCCCTTATATATATCCCCGGGGAAACAATCAAATCGACCCCCGGGGCTGGCTCTCCCTCCCTCCCTCCCTCCCTCCCTCCCTCCTTCCTTTCTTTTCATTCTCATCATCCTTCATTCCTCTTTTTTTGGAAGGGGAGGGGGGCTTGCCTCCTCTCTCCCCCCCCCCCTCCCTTTCATCTGATCCCTGCTGCAAAGTGCGCGGCGGCGCATCCCGGGGTGTGATTGGTGCCTCGCGCTCGGCTGGAGCGTGCCGCTCATTTATTAATGAATGGGGGCTCGCGAGGCGCAGCTGCCCAATCGCAGGGAGCCCGCCAGACAGGCACGCGCGCGCGCCCGGCATGGCCGCCTCCCCCTCCCGCACCCCCCTCCCCCCTCCCTCATGATAGGCCCCGAGGGCGGTGGGCACAACAGCCACGGGAGTCACACGCACAGGAAGGGGGGAGAAGCAGGTCCAGGGAAGAGCCAGTTTGCCACAGCCCAGTCATTCCCAAACTTCGGTCCTTCAGGTGTTTGGTTCTCCAACTTCCAGAAGCTCCCACTTGATTTCACCAAGAGTCAGGCATTTCTAGAGTTGAACACTTGAGTTATGATAACTAAAGAGCTGTCCAGCTGTCCAGAATCTCAACATGCTCAGTATAATCACATGTCTATAATCCCTCCCACACCAAAGAAGTAAGACAAACTCTCAAATCAATATATACATAGAATACAGGTTAACAAATAAACAGTGAAAGGCTTGGGAGGTTGCTATTTCCAACAGTGAGTTTTCCAGGCTGCATGGCCATGTTCCAGAAGCATTCTCTCCTGATGTTTCACCTACATCTATGGCAGGCATCCTCAGAGGTGAGTCTGTTGGAAACTAGGCAAGTGGAATTTATATATTGCATTGACTCTGTTTGATACCACTTTAGCCAAGGCCTAGATACTTGAAATGCACCAGATCCCTCTGTTCTTGGAAGCTGAGAAGAGTCAATTCTGGTTAATATGTGAATGGGAGGCCATCAACAAATACCAAGTGCTGCAGGTATTTATTTCTCGTGTCAGGGCAGCAAGTCAATTATATTACATTTCTAACAGAACAAAGCAAACAAACAGAGAAAATACAAAATGTGTGAGTTTGGTAGTTGATTAAATGTCCTTTGGCCAGTATCTGGCCACTTGGAGTGCTTCTGGTGTTGCTGCAAGAAGGTCCTCCATTGTGCATGTAGCAGGGCTCAGGTTGCATTGCAGCAGGTGGTCAGTGGTTTGCTCTTCTCCGCACTCGCATGTCGTGGATTCAGCTTTGTAGCCCCATTTCTTAAGATTGGCTCTGCATCTCGTGGTGCCAGAGCGCAGTCTGTTCAGCACCTTCCAAGTCGTCCAGTCTTTCTTGTGCCCAGGAGGGAGTCTCTCATCTGGTGTCACCCACGGATTGAGGCGCTGGGGTTGAGCCTGCCACTTTTGGACTCTTGCTTGCTGGGGTGTTCCAGCGAGTGTCTCTGTAGATCTTAGAAAACTATTTCTTGATTTAAGTCGTTGATGTGCTGGCTGATACCCAAACAAGGGATGAGCTGGAGATGTCTCTGCCTTGGTCCTTTCACTATTGGCTGCAACTTCCCAGTGGATGTCAGGTGGTGCAATACCGGCTAAGCAGTGTAATTTCTCCAGTGGTGTAGGGCGCAGACACCCTGTGATAATGCGGCATGTCTCATTAAGAGCCACATCCACTGTTTAGTGTGGTGAGATGTGTTCCACACTGGGCATGCGTACTCAGCAGCAGAGTAGCATAGCGCAAGGGCAGATGTCTTCACTGTGTCTGGTTGTGATCCCCAGGTTGTGCCAGTCAGCTTTCGTATGATATTGTTTCTAGCGCCCACTTTTTGCTTGATGTTCAGGCAGTGCTTCTTGTAGGTCAGAGCATGGTCCAGAGTGACTCCCAGGTATTTGGGTGCGCTGCAATGGTCCAGTGGGATTCCTTCCCAGGTGATCCTCAGAGCTCAGGATGCTCTGAGTTATGGTATCTAAAGAGCTGGCCAGCTGGCCAGAATCTAAACATGCTCAGTACAATCACATGTCTATAATCCCTCCCACACCAAAGAAGTAAGACAAACTGGCAAATCAATATATACATAGAATACAGGTTAGCAAATATATACATTAACAAATAAATAGTGAAAGGCTTGGGAGGTTGCTATTTCCAACAGTGAGTTTTCCAGGTTGTATGGCTATGCTCCAGAAGCATTCTCTCCTGATGTTTCTCCCACATCTATGGCAGGCATCCTCAGAGGTGAGTCTGTTGGAAACTAGGCAAGTGAAATTTATATATTGCATTGACTCTGTTTGATACCACTTTAGCCAAGGCCTAGATACTTGAAATGCACCAGATCCATCTGTTCTGAGAAGAGTCAATCCTGGTTAATACGTGAATGGGAGGCCATCAACAAATACCAAGTGCTGCAGGTATTTATTTCTCGTGTCAGGGCAGCCAGTCAATTATATTACATTTCTAACAGAACAAAGCAAACAAACAGAGAAAATACAAAATGTGTGAGTTTGGTAGTTGATTAAATGTCCTTTGACCAGTATCTGGCCACTTGGAGTGCTTCTGGTGTTGCGGCAAGGCGGTCCTCCATCATGCATGTGGCAGGGCTCAGGGTGCATTGCAGCAGGTGGTCAGTGGTTTGTTCTTCTCCGCACTCGCATGCCGAGGATTCCACTTTGTAGCCCCATTTCTTAAGGTTGGCTCTGCATCTCGTGGTGCCAGAGCGCAGTTTGTTCAGTACCTTCCAAGTCGCCCAGTCTTCTGTATGCCCAGGAGGGAGTCTCTCACTTGGTCTCAGCCACTGATTGAGGTTCTGGGTTTGAGCCTGCCACTTTTTGACTCTCGCTTGCTGAGGTGTTCCAGCGAGTGTCTCTGTAGATCTTAGAAAACTATTTCTTGATTTAAGTCGTTGACGTGCTGGCTGATACCCAAACAAGGGATGAGCTGGAGATGTCTCTGCCTTGGTCCTTTCACTATTGGCTGCTACTTCCCGGCGGATGTCAGGTGGTGCAATACCGGCTAAGCAGTGTCATTTCTCCAGTGGTGTAGGGCGCAGACACATGATAATGCGGCATGTCTCATTAAGAGCCACATCCACTGTTTTAGTGTGGTGAGATGTGTTCCACACTGGGCATGCATACTCAGCAGCAGAGTAGCATAGCAAGGGCAGATGTCTTCACTGTGTCTGGTTGTGATCCCCAGGTTGTGCCAGTCAGCTTTTGTATGATATTGTTTCTAGCGCCCACTTTTTGCTTGATGTTCAGGCAGTGCTTCTTGTAGGTCAGAGCACGGTCCAGAGTGACTCCCAGGTATTTGGGTGCGCTGCAATGCTCCAGTGGGATTCCTTCCCAGGTGATCCTCAGAGCTCGGGATGCTCTGAGTTATGGTATCTAAAGAGCTGGCCAGCTGGCCAGAATCTGAATATGCTCAGTATAATCACATGTCTATAATCCCTCCCACACCAAAGAAGTAAGACAAACTGGCAAATCAGCATATACACAGAATATAGGTTAGCAAATATATATAATAACAAATAAATAGTGAAAGGCTTGGGAGGTTGCTATTTCCAACAGTGAGTTTTCCAGGCTGTATGGCTATGTTCCAGAAGCATTCTCTCCTGACGTTTCACCCACATCTATGGCAGGCATCCTCAGAGGTGAGGTCTGTTGGAAACTAGGCAAGTGAAATTTATATACTACATTGACTCTGTTTGATACCATTTTAGCCAAGGCCTACATACTTGAAATGCACCAGAGCCATCTATTCTTGGAAGCTGAGAAGAGTCAATCCTGGTTAATACGTGAATGGGAGGCCATCAACAAATACCAAGTGCTGCAGGTGGTGGTGGGTAAGGGGAAAAGATGCAATAGTTCTATTCTTGTGCGGATGTGAGGAAAAGCCATTATGAGAAATAGTTCTTCTACACAACAACAACAATATTTATTGATTAGCCAGTTGGCCTTATCAAAAACAGACAGTGCAAACACAACATACAATATACGTCTGGTCCTATTAAAATAGAATACAAATATATAGGAAATTGTCAACTTAAAACCAATGTAGCTTAGCCATAGATATATGCATCAACTATCCTCGTCTCCCCTACACTGCACCCCAATCTGATCTATGTACTCTGATCTCCTACACACATAGTGGTTCCCAACCTTAGGTCCTCCAGCTGTTTTGGACTTCAACTCCCAGAAATCCCAGCCAGCTTAGCGGCTGTTAGGAACTGTGGGAGCTGAAGTTCAAAACACCTGGAGGACCAAAGGTTGGGAACCACTGTACAGGGTAAGTAAGAGGCGGTTTGGTGGCTTCCATGCCAATGTGTTGAAGAATCCACTCTAGGTTTCAGTCTAATCTTAAAGGATCTATTCAAGGTGCTATTTTTAAGAATGCTAATTTGAAAATAGCATTCAGCACCTTGGACACATCCTTTAAAGGTCAGAGTGTATCAGACAATTTGCAATTAACAACAGGACATGGAAGCCATCAACTGGCATCTGGTGTGGCTGTTTGTTATGCTACACTTGTTGAGATTCCTTAGTAGATGCTGTGTCTCCACAGTTTGGCACAGTTTCTTTAGCTGCCAGCATACTATGCTAACTTTAGATTTGTGGGTGTTTCTCTCATGACAGAAAAGCAGAAAATGAAGAATGAAACACTTTGCAAAGATCTGGTGCACTTTCTCTTTTTAATGACAGTTTATAGAATCACACAAATGGGAATTCTGAGTGTGAACATCATCATAATTCCCACCATTTTCCCAACATGGGACTCACTCTGCAAGATTTCCCCTCAGTTAATACTCATTAGTAATGCAGATATCGGAAGCATGCTGCTTAACCACCTTCAAGTGATATCTTGGGTTAGTCCTTGTCCTGTTTTCTTTTTCTTATTTACTGATCAGGATCTCAGCAACTCTAGAATGCGGGGTTCTGGGAAGAGAATGGTACAAAGATGTAATGCAGAGATGAGAAAAATTGCAGTATTAATACAACAACTCTAAGCAAATTTACCTATAAATGGGATTTATCCCAAACTAGCACTGGTCAATGGCCTAAATCCTAATAGTCTCATTGAGAGTAGGCCCATTGGATCAATGAGATTTACAAAAGTGTTAACTTCATCAATCAATTCAATAAATCTACTGTAGTTGGAAGTAGTGATTAGACTTATGACAACATGTTAGGATCAAACCCATGTGCATATCCTGAAGTAAGCCCTGTTAAATTCAGTGGCAGCTGATCCCTGACATCAGTGGGGAAGTGAAGCCATCCCTGGTTTTGCTATGATTTGTTGGATTTAAAGGCCCTGTCCAAGGTGTTGTGTGATGTCACCAAGATTCATTCAGCACCTTAGACAACACCTTTAAAGTTCCACTTAAGATTCCCTACACAGTATCAATGGTTGCATTGACCTGTTTATTAGATCCTCCAGAACTAATAATAATAACAATAATAATAATAATAATAAAACTTTATTTATACCCTGCCACCATCTCCCCAAGGGGACTTACATGAGGCCACGCCCATCAATACGATATACACAATATAACACAAAAACACAACAGAAAATCAGAAAAAACCCTAAAATACCAGGAATGGAGAAGCTGTAGTCCCCCTGGTGTCAATGGACTACTAGTCCCATCACCTGCCACCACTTTTGTGGATCTCAATCCATTTCTTTGGATTCCTCAGCTCTGAAGAATTCTGAAGAAGTAGGTTGAAATCCACATAAACTCAAGCTATAGTAAATCAACTAAAATAACCCATATAATCCTGCCTAGGATTCAGTTCTGGCAGAAAGGCAAAATATACATTAATTAAATCAGCAAATCCTGCAATACTTACCATAAAGGCTGTTTCCTCTGATCTTGGTATTCATTCTAGAGTGCATATACACCCTGAGGCTCTGGCAATCAGAGTTCAAATTTGTCCTTGATCGTGGAAACTCATTGTGTCAGCGTGACCAAGTTGCACTATCTCAGCCCCAAAGGAAGCCAAATGCAAAAGTTCTATTGAATAAATATTGCCCAACAGTGGGGTTGTTATAAGTAGGCAAAGACTTGATGCACAACCACAGCATCTCCAGGCTTCGGTGCATAACAGAACTGCTGGAGAATTTCGACCAGGGGTGCATCTACACTGTAGAATCAAGGCAGTTTGACTCCACTTTAACTGCCGTGGAATTAGGAGAGTTGTAATTTGGAGAGGCGCCAGGACTCATTGGTGGAGAAGACTACCAGGATTCCATAGGATTGAGCCATAGCAGTTTAAACAAAGCTAAACTGTATTAACTCTACATGGTCATAGATGGGACTGCCAGTATCACCTTGTTCATTTTGTTAGTTTTGTCAAAACTATAAATGAGGTCGATTTTAAAATTTGCAAACATTGGAAAGAGAGTTCCTAATAATTGAACATGCTTTCTTTTCACTCTTAAGGGGTGGCTCTTTTTTCCAAGGTGGATTTGAGGAAAGGCTGTGCAACTGTGTCTGTGTTTGGATACCAGAAAAGGACACACATTGGTGCCCCATCTGGCCACACACACCACTTGCATTTTTTAAACGTTGAAAAGTAACTAAGAAATAGAAAAAGCCAAGATTTCCAAGCTCAGGAAGGGTGAGACCTTGGGGGTAAAAAGAAAGAGAAGTAGAGAAGGGAAGATCTAGCAATCAAGCTCTTGACACAACACCTTCTCTTTGCCAGTTGTCCCTTACTGAAGTACCAAAAAGTGTCTACCTTATAAGCCTGGCAAGTGTCCCTTATTATAAAGAATGCTCCTTGTTTGAAGGACGGAAATCTCCCACCCTTTTTAATATATAAACTGAATAAAATGCACCACCTCTCTAAAAAAAACAACCTGTATTTTGAGATAAACATTATATACTCTATCAATGAGAATATTAGCTCCTTAAAAGTGTGAGCACCGGGTACTAAATAAATTGGACTCTCTGTTTATTTCAGTGGGTTCTCAAGTGCATAGTATTGTTTGATTTACATTCTTTCAGTTGGATTCACGATTTGCTTTGTCTGGTTTATCTAATATTTTAACTACTTAATTGCTGGTGTGATTCGTGGTTTGAAGGGAATTGCATAATTTGCAGCTGGTTTAATGGCTCACAAACAGGGAACAGATATTATGTCTATACCGCACACCATTGTTTGAGATATTAGTTTTATCCCATACTTCTTAGTGAGATTTAATCCCATGTAGGTCCATTTACCCATGGTCTAAAAATTAGCAGAATTTATGCAGACATCAGGGATTATTGTTTTTCATTTGCAATTGTCAATAGTCTACAGCCATGGATTCTGAGAGTTGCCGTCCAAAATGTAACTGTTATGAGCTCTGCACACACCTCTTCCTATCAACATTCATTCTGAATCTAATAAAATCATTGATATACATTTGTTGATGCAGAAAACAAAATGCTCCCAGATCCAAAAAATATATGGAATTTATAGCAGAGGCATGTTATTTTTAGCACACAATATTTGTCAGCACAGTGGCAAGTCTAGAAATCCAGTTGATAGGTAAGGATACAGCTGACTGGCTTTTAGGGTGCATCTGCACTGTAGAATTAATGCGGCATGATGCCACTTGGCTCAATGGTATGGAATCCTGGGAGTTTTAGTTCAATTAGGCACTGGCACTCTTAAGCAAAAATACAACTTCTATGACTCCTTAGCATTGAGCCCTGACAGTTCAAGAGCCCTGACATCATACTGCATTAATATAGACGCACCAAAAGAGTGTGTTCGTACTCGGTCAAAAATCTGTCCTGAGCTATGGTAGTAAAGGTAGTATGAAACTGCATTAATTCTTCAGTGAGGATGCACTTCCAGTTGGCAAGAACGCAGCTGCGACCCTCACCTCCCCAATGACTGATGTTTGTATGACTAGGAAAAGAGCTACTTTTGCTCTTTCAAGTCACTGGAGGTTCTTATTTGCACATCATTTTGTTGGAGGAGGAGGAAGAAGAAGGGTGAAGGGAAATGTCTTACTTTAGAGCCTCTTCGTCCTTGTCTCCATCCTCCTTTCCAAGGTAAATAGGACTGAAGACAAACAGAGGTAGTGGGAGCATCTGGGGCTGCCTTTTGACTGAATTGAAGAGGCCCTTGTGTGGTCTGGGGGGGTGGCCAGGCCAAATGAGGCTGAGCTGTTATGGAAAAAAGAAGGAGGGGGGTCCTGGAAAGGGGGCTCTCTGCAGCACTGGCCAGGACCTGAGCTGTCCTTGCCAGGGTCAAACTGTTCAACTTGCAGCCCCTTTGGCTCGACTCAAGCCCTCCTTTAGGGCAACAACAAAAGGGATCAAGAAATGGGGAACGAGGGCAAGTGATTTAAGGGAAAGGGCAGGGATCTGGGAGGAGACCAGGGTGACCTTTTGAGAAGTTTTTGTGAGGCTTAGGAAGCCTGAATGTTGGGATGACCTCCCTGCCAGGGCCCTAAAACTGGAAGGGGGGGGGGGTGAGGAGAAGCCGGGCAAGCTCTTCTTACTCAAGAAGGGCATTGGCTGTACAGGGAGATGTGTGAGATTTTTTTGCCAGTCATAGAAGTAGAATTATAGAGACCCCAAGGGTCATTAAATCCAACCCCATTCTGCCATGCAATAATGCACAGTGTAAGCACTCCCAACAGATGGCCACTCAGCCTTCATTTAACAACCTCTAGAAAAGGAGACTTCACCACACTCCCAGGCAGCATATCCCATTGTTGAACAGCTCTTATCATCAGAAAGTTCTTCTTAATGTTTAGATTTAATATTTATTTTTCCTGAAATGTCAATACATGGCTCCTTGTCCTAGCTTCTAGAGTAGCAGAAAACAAGCCTCAGTAGACATCATTTCAAGTATTTGAGTATGGCTATCATGCCCCTTCTCAATCTTCTCAACCCAGTGGATGTGGAAGACAGAGCATAATTACTCTACACTGTTGCTACCTTAAATGCTGTGGTGCCATGGAGCAAGCTGGACTTTGGTGCCCTGGAACCCTTTCACACTCTACTCTTATAGCACTACCATTTCACCTTTACGGCCTTGCCTGCATCCTAGGGTTTGTAATTCGGTCACTTCATAGGTGATCATAAACTGCAAAACCCAGATTCCATAGGGAGGCACCATAGCATTTTAAATGGAATCATACCAATATCATTTTGTAACTGAAAGGTTCCAAGCATGTTAGCATCAGGGCCAAACGCTAATAGCTGACCAAAGATGTGAGAAATTCAACTTGTGTTAGTGACCTTGTTGATTTGTTTTTTATTCATTTTGCAGTTTGATGCTTGGGGACAGAAACATGAAGGCTGATTTTTGATTATTTTTTCTTGGTTGCTAACTTACTGTCACAGGTTGGAAGATTGACTTCTTTCAAATCATAACCTCACTGCACTAAATCAGCATTAATGTTGGAGCCAGGTAGGCCTTTTAGGGGAGAGCATTTGTAACACAGGGAACGCAATGAAAAATACTGCCCCCCTTGATATCATTTCAAAGCTACTCACAAAACTAAGGAAAAATAGTTTATATCAAACTGTATGGATGGACAGATCTATAGGGCAAGAGGCATTCCTTCAGCTAATGAGACCCTGAGCATTATGGGCGTTTATAAGTGAAAACTGCCACTTAGAATTGGACTTAGAATATCAGCAACCAGTTTCAGCCAGACCAAACTAAATGTATATATTCAGACGTTCTGTTCTCTTTCACCAATCCACACCAAATGCTTGATAAGATGATATGAGAGCTTTCTTTCTTTGCTTAGCAATAATAAGACAAGAACTCTGCATGTGCTCAGAGTGTGCACTACAGTCTTAGAATCCTTTAACATTCCTCAATATTCAGACTCCACTTAAACATTATATTTTAGCCTCCAAGGCAATTAGGGCACGCTAGCAATGCTTGAAATCAGTTCCAAAGTTGCCACATGTTTAGTTTTGGGTCAATAAAAATATTTCATCAGTATTTTTACACAGATATACATTTCTCCATCTATATCTATGGATTCAATGTCCATAAGTTGAATTTTTTAAAAAATCCAAAAAGTAAACCTTTATTTTGCCATGTTATATAAAATAATAATCAATTTTACAAAGCCGTTGTATATGATGAAATTTTGCATCCATGAGGGGGTGGGTCCTGAAACCAACCTAACAAGGGCCCTCTGTATAATAATAATAATAAAAATCATCATCATCATCATCATCATCATCATCTTTATTTATGTTCTGCTCTATCTTCTCAAGGGTGCTCAGGACCTGAACACTTTTCAGAGGAAAAAAAGTTTGTATGAAGTTATTTTCATTTCTGGTTTGGTCACAAATGGCTGCCCATGCACCACTGCCAGTGTGGGATATAAGGCACAAATAAATATCATTATCAGTATCCCACATTATAGCATGATCATGTCATTTATACAAAATATAAAATGTTTCATATAGTGTTCTGGAACAGCTGTTCCAGGAGCTCCAATTTTATTTGCTTTGAATTAAATGTTGGTTTGAACATATAGTGCTGAAAGAATGAATTCTGTGAAAATACAAAATACAAAATAAATGCTATAAACATTGGTGAGATCAAGTGCTTGCTTTAACCTAAGATCACTTATCAATAGGCTGCAGGGAAGAATTTGTTCCCAGGCTCCAAATGGAGATAAAGTAAATCCAAATTGTGAAATAAAGTTTATCCTCTGAAGGACACTCCCCTACAAACAAAATTAGGACAGAAGGGTGTTAGGTAGGAGGTACCCAGGCTCAAATGCTTGCTCAGCCATGAAGCTTACTGGGTGGCCCTGACAAGTCTCTCTCTTCGTAGGCTTAATCTATTTCACAGTGCTTTGAGCAAGGAGATACTCCTCACCCAGGGATAGGGAGACACACATATCTA